CAAAAGGACAGCAACTTGTCTGTTCCCCTTCCCCGATTCCCCAACGCTGTTCCCCTCCCCCAATTCCCCAATAAAATCTTTAAAAAAAAAAAAAACGAAGCCTGAGAAGAGATGAACAACAAACCAGAGTCAAAAATGCCTTGAGAAGCACATATTGCACAGTCGTTTTTTTTTAAAGCACAAAAACAATAAATTTACTTTTAATGAAAAAAAAAAGTTCTAAGATAACAAAGGTTAAAACCTGTTAGGTTTTAGTCCTCATGTGAGGACTGTTACATGCAAAAAATTATGCTTGTGATTGTCAATGAAATTGACCGTTTTTAATGAATACATTTTGATAAAAATCTCAAGTTAGCAACTGCATATTTTTAAAAGCTTCATTTTAAGAGGGAAGACATAGAGGATCAAACTGACATTTGGTCGTGGTTCCTCTCTTAGGTGTTTTAATAAAGAAATGCTAGTGCCTTCATCTCAGACTCATAGACATTTCACAGGTATCTCCTTCAGGGCGGAACAGTGTTGTGTTCATTTTAATAATTTTACCACCTGGTATGTTTGGATGGGCAGATTAATGCTAACTTTTTACTTTCAAGTAAAAAAATAAAATTAGTCTATAAAATAGCAATCAACTCCTGAAGTTCAAAGAGTACCACTGCCTCTAATGTGGGACTCAGTGTTTCATTTGCTAAGAGGTTAGCCGTTGGTCTCCCCGCTTTAGTACCCCGATAACACACACTGCCTGCGCCTTGAGGGGAGGCCACAGCCTGTTTATCTGCTTGCTCTTTGGAGATCATGGTCGATCTTTATGATTAAATGGTTACTGGAGCATTTTGAGTCTGTACACTTTTGTCAGAACTGCTTATCGGATGGTGTATTGTGTACTGTACCTCTGATTTTAAGAAGTGTTTAATTTCAAAATCGTAAGTATATTTTAGATAAGAGCCTCCTGATGTTGAAGAATACTTTTGCTGTTGCAATTTTTTCTTTTAACTATTTTATTTTATTTTATTGGGGAACAATGTGTTTTTCCAGGACCCATCAGCTCCAAGTCAAGTAGTTGTTTCATTCTGTTGGGTTGTCGGAAAAGTTATGATGTATGTTTTGTATGTGTTTCATTGCAAAAATGCATCATGACTTTTCCAACAACCCAGTAGTTGTGGAGGATGCAACTCAGTGGCCCATGTGGGAATTGAACCGGCAACCTTGGTGTTATGAGCACTGTGCTCTAACCACCTGAGCTAACTGGCTGCCCCAGCTGTTGCAATTTTTAGCACACGGGTTTTTCTATATCTACACTTAAATCTTTTTATTAATCATCTTTTTAGGTCCTACGGCTTTGTTGGCTCATGAAATAGGTTTTGGAAGCAAAGTTACCACACACCCACTTGCGAAAGACAAAATGATGAATGGAAGTAAGTATATGCTTATGTTTTAATAAGACCTTTTCAAAAAGCTATAATTTAGCATTGTTTCCCGCCCAGTGGAACCTAATATGTAGAGATCCTCTGTGGGTTGAGGTGTGGTGTGTTCCTTGCTCTCTTTGCGAGGGTTTTAACCAGAGAGGGAGCTACCCAGATAGAGAGGCCTGTCTCTGGCTGTGCCCTGGTGGGGTCGCGGGGCTAAGCCAAAGGCCAGCTGGATTCCTGACTGTCACAGGTTGAAGTGATTATGACATGCCAGTTTAACTCGTATTTTTACTAAATACTTCGCCAGTGGCCTGAGGGTAAATTTTAAATCTCAACCGATTTTCAGCGAGTGCCCTTTTGCCCGCAGCCCAGAGTATAATGGACATTGCTGTCTTGCTTCAGAGAGTGCCCAGGTGGCGGGCCTGCCTGCCTTAGTGACATGTTTCTTTTGTAAATACCAGCCAGATATTTAACTATTAATTTATTTTTGTAATAACAATCTATTTTTCAAGGTAAAAAATGCAGACAGTACAAAAGAGGGTAAAGTACACACATGTTTCTTTTCTCTTTAACTCCCCACCCCCTTTCTGCTTTTCAGCGGAAACTTCTGTTCAAGTTCCTTGTGTATCTGTATCTATCTATACACTTCTATCTGCATATACTCATTAGCCCTCGTGGTTTCATATTTTTACTCAAATGACAGCTACTAAATACATTGTTCTACACCTTGCCTTTTAAACTAAAGGTGTTAGTTCTTTTTTTTTGTAATTTATCAAATATTTCTGTAATTCTCTTGTGTTGCTTATTATTTGGAGGCTATAAAAGAAGTATGACATTGTCCCTGTCCTCCAGGAGTTAACAGCTTGCAGAGACATACCCATCAAATTTTAAAATGCAAGGCAGCATATAATTAACAGCAGAACAACGAGCAAGCACTGCGTGTATAGCTATGTAACAATCAGAGCTTCCCCGTAACAGCCCCTGCTCAGCCTGACATTCAGAGCGCCAACCAGGTGGCATCTCTGTCACATGGGTGGTGCCTCCCTCTGCTATCTGAGTCTGGACTGCACGTAACAGAGAGGCCGAGTCCCTGGGACTTGCAAAAGGAGAGAAAGATCACACTAGTGTGGATAATTGCAAGAGAATCAGAAATTCCTATTTAGAAGCCAAAAGTGGTTCACCTGGCATTCAGCTAGTAAGGTAACTGAGTCACTGGTTCCGTTTAAAACACCAGCCAACCAAAAATGAGTGAATCAGCAAGAGGAAATAATATCGAAGCTGACTTGAAGATACCTGCAGCCGATACTCTTCCTCCCCTTTTAGCCCTGCTCTGGGCTTATTCTGAACTAACAAACTAGAGCCGCTAACATATCTTTTCATAGCAAAGAAGAGTAATGCATTTTTCATTATATCGCTGTTGTTTAAATTAATAGACCTATTTTTTAGAGCAGTTTAGGTTCCCAGCAGAAAGCCCATGGCGTTCCCATGCCCCCCCGCCCCCCACGTGCAGGCTCTCTCACACCAGGTGGTCCATCTGTTACAGTCGGGTGAATCGACACCGACATGTCACCACCACCCAAAGTCCGTAGTTTACATTGGGGATCCCACTTGGTGTTGGACATTCTGCATATTAAATTTGACCCGAAGTAGTATTTTCTTGAAAACCTATACTTTTTTATTTTAGTTGCTAGAAAAGATACTAGGTTGTCAAAACCGTCTGTGTGAAAATCGATTTTAAAAAAGGCTCTAGCTCCTGGGCATTTTTTAATGTGGGGATTTAATTTTCTTCGAGCTGATGGAGAGGTTTTGGAGGGCTGGAAAGAACAGAATCAATCAGGCTTCCTATAGGAGTGACATATTAGAAGGAAGGCTTGAATAGAAGCCATCCCTCCATAACCTGACGGCGTGTGCGTTGTTTCTATGCTCGTAACACCCTGAGAGCATGGTCGGCTGGGAGGAGAAGATAGGCTGTGAGCCCTCCAGCGGCCAGAGCACATTCACAAGCGTGTTCTCCACGGAGCCTCGCTGTCCCCAGCGCCCTGCAGGCGTGTGTTGGGAACAGGCTTAGAGAGGCCAGACCCAGGTCCTGCCTCTGTCCTGGTGAGGTTCCCACACGCACTCCCCTTATCCAGCATTGCGCCCTATTATAAGAAACAGATGCTTGAAGTTTGTGCCCCTTCAGAACAATCTGCAAAGTGAGCTGGGATTAATTCTTGAGTGTCTCCCTGGGTGAGGCCCCTCTCTCTGGTCGTCACCTTGAACTTAATAGATGAGTATGAAGTTTTGACGCAAATAAGCAGTCTAATCTGAGGGCAGAGTCTTTCTGTTTCTCACTTTTTAAATAAATTGTGGCTTTAATGTTTCTTCAGTTCTCATCTGTCCGTTGTAGCAACCCTCTGAATGTCCGTCACTGAGCAGTGAGGAGGGTTCTCTGGAGCCAGACGACCGCTCACTGTGCGAACAGGCAGGTTCCTGAACCTCCCTGAGCCTCCGTGTCCTCGTCTGTCTTAGGAGGAGAGCAGCTTCCTCTCAGGGTTGTTGACGGGCTCAGTGAGTTAATGGGTTTAACTCACTGCCAGCCAGAGCCTGTGCTGGATCACTGTGGGGATAGGCGGCCCTCGCCCAGCCAGTCTGTGTTCCAGCTTTGGTTTGATTGGATTCCCACAGAGTCGTTAGGTTGGTGTCATCGCCATTCTGCAGAAGAGAAGAGTGAGGCTCAGAGAGGCCAGACAGCAACTAGATGGTAGACCTGGGATTTGGTCCCAGATCTGCTGTGCTCAGGGGTCAGTGACCTTTCCTTAAAGGGCCGAATAGGAAGTATTGCAGGCTTTCAGGGACTCCAAGTCTGTGGGCGCTCAAGCTCTAAAGGAGCCACCGACCAAATCAGTGGGGTGCGCCCGTGTTAGCTGTTGACCACGTGCTCCTGGCCTCCCCAGTTGCTTTTTCTCTGAAGAGACTTTCTGGCTTTGGGGTGTTTGCTTAGAGTTAGAAGAAATTAATGCCCTGTGCCAGATGGAATGTGAGGTGTGAGTGTGCCGGCTTCCCCAGTCAGAATGAACGCGGCTGGCTGGTCAGTGCATGCATGTTGCTTTTCTTCGTCTTCACCACTAGGAGGCGGTAGGTGATAAGTGCAGACCATTTGCTCTTCCTGGTTGAAATTTTGAAAAGAACCGTGGACCGTCTTTAAACATCTTTAACCAGTGTAAGCTGTATTTGTAATGTTTTACCCACAAAGAGGTTGTTAAGTGAACCATTTAGCACTGTGCCTTGCGCTGCCCCAGTCTAGGCAGTTCACCCCACTGCCCTGGAAGACCCAGCTCAGCTGGTTTCCTAGTTGAGCATTTAAAATGACCTTGGCCTGCTTTATCCATCAGCCAGTGAGGTTAGACTAGGAAAACCTCCCCGTCAAAGCAGGCTCCTCTTTTTCTCCACAGTAGTGACCAGGACATTTTTGACACCCTGTGTTTCAGTTTTTTCACTTGATTATTTATGATAGTAAGGCAGATTGGTACAGGTGGCATCAGTCCACTTAGAAAGGACGTGGACACCAGTGTGTGGGTTCCAGAGCCCATCATGCCAGCCATTAGGTGACGTTTTCTGGATGTATTCATTGAAGAAGCGTTTCCTGAGCTGCTCCTTAGGCTGTGGTAGCAGGTGGGAGAGACAGCATGGCCGCGGTCTGCACTGCATGTGGGGTGGGGGTGGGGGGGGTCAGCAGGGTGCCTGCTGGGCTCTACCTGCCGTGACAGGACATAGCAAGATTTCACAGAGGAAACTCATTTTCAGCCCCTCCCCTAAACCTGTTTGTCCTTTGTGTCCCATGTCACTATGTGCCACCACTACCCACCCAGTTGCCCAGAACAGACAGTTGGGAGTCATCCTTGACATCTCCCCATGTCTAGTTTGTCACTAAGTTCTGGGCATTTTGTCGCCAAACCTTCATTTCCCCTCAATTGCCACTGTCCCCATCCAGGTCACAGTTAACTGCCACCTGGATGGCAGGTCCTCCTCTGTCTCCTTTCCGATTCCTTCCAGTTCAGCCTCTGCGCAGGCCAGATGCAGAGGGCTCGTGCACCATGACATGGAGTTCCCAGGCATCTTTAGGTGCTGGAGAAAGTTGGCGAAGGTTCTCCAGGGGAGAGACTGGATACGCTGTGGTTTGCACTTGGGAAAGGCCACCTCTCTGGTGGCGCTGAGTATGCAGTGGTGGGCAGGCAGCCAGAGGAGCGGTCAGGGGAAGATTGTCGTTAAGGCCCGGGCACGAGCAGAGGGAGTGGAACTTGCCTTCATCTTCATCCTCTTGATACGCGGGCGCCATCGATATTCTAGGCCAGACGGAGGCAGGTGAAGGCCCAGCCTTCTAAATTGCGGACAGCAAACAAGGAGACTGACGCATGTTCACAGAGTTGATGGCTGCCTGGGGCATCTGCATGGAGGAACCCCACCTTTGTGGCCGGAGATGGTCCACCTTGTAGGAGATGCATGTTTCTTATTATAATTATATTTACAAAAATGGAGCCAATTGAGGGACGAAGGAACTAGCCCCTGAGAAGTGAACGTGGCTTCTCCCTCAACACACCTCTCTCCCCCTCCCAGTGCTATGCTGTAGTTGTTTGTTTTTGAGACAGCAGGGAGTGTGTGCATAACACAGGCTGTTTCTATCTTCAACACTGTTCACCCACATCCCCCTTTGCCTCCAGCATCTTGTAGGGAAGAAAAACAATTTTCCCCCTACCCTTCTGAGTCCTTGGCTGAGAGCCCTGTAATAAAAGACAGATGAACAAGAGAAAAACAAAGACAAGTTTATTAACATGACTGCCTCATGTATACGTGGGAGATACCCAGGGAAAATGAGGAACTCCCAAGGTGGTTTGGAATTCAGACTTAGATATTATCTTAGTAGGGAAAGGTGGGGTGGGCGTGGGGGGTGGGGGTGAGGGAGGCCTCTGGGGCAGAGGAAATGGTTTTTAGGGAAGGTGACTGGGCCCTTAGGAGAGCTGATGGGAGGTATGATTGATTGTGACAAGGTCTGGGTGTGGTGTCGACTTCCGGTCTCCTGTCCTGTGACAAGAGCCCACCTCCCTGGCTGATGAAACTCCCGGAGGGGGGAGGGGATGTACAACCACTGAGCTCCTTCTGCAGGATCTGTGTTTGGGCGGAGAAAGGGGTTCAGAGAAAGCCTCTCCCTGCATTGGCTGGTTTTCAAGAGCCTTCCGCTCAAAATAACATGTCAAAGCCACATATTTGGGGTGTCGTGTCCTGAACTCCTAGTCACATTGCGGGGCGGGGGGGCGGGTCGGGGAGGCATATTCTGCTGCCCTTCAGTTTACAGACTTGACGCTGAGCATTTACTGTATAGTAGAAATGTGAGTAATTCGCATTGACTGGGAGATACTAAGCAACTGCGCTCGCCTTCCACGTGTGTGTCTGTTTCCTGTCACAGTTGCTGGCTCCTCTGCCCCTTCGCTGTACGTACCCAGCCTCCTTAGTACTCACGTGCTGTGCTCTGAAGGGTTGAGAGTGCCTCGTTTCTGAGCAGCTGCCTACAGTGTTCTGTGTTTTTTCATTAACTAAGTGAGGCCAGTGATGCGCTGCGACGGGCTTGACGTGCTAAGCAGTAGTCACTGTTGTCTAGCACAGCCCATCAGGATGTAACCCTTTTCTTGTCCAAGGTCATTATAGCTACTCGGAGAATCGCGTGGAGCAGGATGGCCTGATCCTCACGAGCCGGGGGCCAGGGACCAGCTTCGAGTTTGCTCTTGCTATTGTCACGGCGCTGAGCGGCAAGGAGGTGGCTGAGCAGGTGAAGGCCCCGCTGGTCCTTAGAGACTAGAGCAGAAGTACCCGACGCAGGTCACAGATAGGCCACCTGTCACCACTTTCACTGAGTCCACTTTAAACAGAAGTGGGTGGTGACTCTGCGGAGCCCTTTTCGTGAAGTGACACCTACGCAGATTCCTCGCCCTACGGCTGTGTCCCCACATTTCTGAACCTTGATTGCAGAATAAACAACACTTAGCAAACTACCGGTTGTTCCTTCATTTGTCTCCCTTTCTTTTGTGACACTAAACTCATTATCAGCTGCATGTGCAGCTCTTAACTGTTGACACAGCTACGGATATAAAATAACAGTGAACACATGTGATACTGGGCTTTGTAGTAAATACCGGGATGCCAAAAAAACGTATACAAGTGGACACTTCGGTCAGTGTTGCTCAAGCAGTAGTTCTCCGTCATCAGAAGTGTCTGGACACAGATGGGACCACTTTGAGCACCTCTTGTAGTTGCAGAAGTCAAACGTGACTTGAATTCATCTTTTGTTATCGGTATGTATTGAGTATTACAATTTTAATGCAGTTATCCTTTCTTAAAATGTGTATACCTTATTTTGGTACTCTCTCTATGTATTTCCTCTTCTGCCTGCCCCTGGGACGGAGCTCCCAAACCCTTGGAATTTCCTGAGCGTTGAGTGATCAGGTGCCTGTTGTCATGTTAATGGCGTGGCTTTTGGATCCCACCGGAGGGTGGGGGCTGGTTGTCAGTGGAGCCAACCAGTGGTTAGACGGTTGGAACTCAGCCACACCGACTTCTGGGGAGGGGTAAGGGGCTTGGGGTTGAATGCGTCACCAACGGCCAGTGACTCAGTTATGACTGTGCAGTAAACCTCCATAATATCCCAAAAGGACAGGTGGCCGGTCCCTTTTTCAGAGAGTTGCCACATTGGGGAACCAGAAGGCTTCCACATGCCACCAGGCGGTCCCCAAGCTCTACGAGGACAGACACTCCTTGTGTCGGGACCTCCCCCATGTGTCTTCATCCAACTGTTAATTCATACCCTTTAATTTTACACCTTTTGTAATAAATCAGTCATCTAGTGAGTAAACGGGTTTTCTGTGAGCCGTTCTAGCAAGTTAATTGAACCCAAGGAGGGGGTCGTTGGACCCTCCAACCTGTAGCTGGTTGGTGAGAAGCACAGGTAACAGCCTGAGCTTGTGGCGCGTGCAGTTGACCGCGGTCTTGGGTGTAGCCCTTTGTGGAATCTCGTTCTGTCTCTGGGTGCTGTCAGAACCCAGTGGCTCCTCCGACACCCTGCTGGTGTCTGGGAATCACACTCACATTGAAATTGGGTCCAGGGACCCCTTTCAACACCTTTTACACATTGAGGACAAAAAGCATAAAGCAGAGATTTAAAGGGCTTGTGATTTCTCTCCCTTTTGTGAACTGTGTATCTTTAATGGCTATTAAAAAACCACCAGTGAAGTTGGCCGTGATGGGGACTTGGTCAGCCAGGTTTTTTTTCCATTGCAGAAAGTCCTCAGGTGGGATTGAAAGCTTTCCGAGGCCGGTCCAGCCTCTGTTTCCCTCCCTCAGGAAGCAGCTGCCAGCTGATCACCTGGCTGAACCCCCAGCTCCCAGGCAGTGGATAAGACACCAGGCTGGGCAGAGCCTTCTTTGCCCCCCGATCACTGAGACCAGTCTGCCAGGGGGGCCCAGTTCTGCAGCCTCTGTCCAGCTGGGTGCTTTTCTCTGCTGGGAACCTGGAGCTGCTGGCAGCCACCTTGTCGCTGTGAGAGTGGCTCCAACACGAGAGGTGGAGTGCTTGGACGGCGCTTGACCCAAGGTCCAGCTGTACCTGGGCAAGAACTGCTCCCAGACTTAGGGACAGGAGCTGACAATTCCCTTGGCTGTTGTGTGTGTTACTTGTAAGGGACCGACGCAGTGACGTAGGAATTAAGTAGGGGTCAGGCTTCCGGAAGCACCTGAGCTGTTAAGTAAAATGCTGAAGCGCTGAGGTCGGCTCTCTGCCGTCCACCCCAGCCACCGCTGGACTTTCTTGCCCCCCTCTTGTTCCTTTTACCGCCCCCTCCTGTGATAGCACAAGTGTCAGCAGACTTTCTGAAAAGGCTAGGTTGGCAATATTTTAGACAGGTGGGCCCTAGAGTCACTGTCACAACTGCTCTGCCCTTACAGCCGGAAAGCAGCCGCAGACAGCACTTCATGTGATAAGCGTGGCTGTGTCTCAACAGCTTCGTTTACAAAACGTGGGGGGTGGGGGGAGCGGGAGCCCTTGGGCGGTAGTTTGCCAATCCCTGGACCAGAAGGCAAGGCCAATGTTAATTTTTTAAAATGTGAACATGTTATTGCACATTTTGATAAGCACGATGACTGCAAAGAATGCTGAGAGGGAGAGCAGGAGTGGCTGCGTGGGGGTGGGTCTCTGAGGATGGGCCATGAGCCGAGACCTGAGCTCGGAGTGGGGGTTGGGTCTCACTTCTTCAGCAGATCTGTTCTGTCCCATCTGGGTACCAAGCCCTGTTCCTGGGACTGGGAATAAGCCCCTGAGAGAGACACTGTCTTTGTAGAGCTTCTTTTGTGGGAGAGAGAGAAAAATACTTATTTGAGAATGTCTACATTTTATGAAGAGAAGTAGGGTAAGAAGGCAGCTACGAGGATATTTTCTGCAGGGTGGTTAGGGCCCTTGGAGGAAATGCAGAGGTTTAGGTGGGAACTCATTCACAGGTGTCTGGAATGCTGAAGTGCAAAGGCCCCGAGGCAGGAGTTCTGGGGTGTGGAGGGACGGCCAGGGGGCCAGGTTGAGGGAGACTCAACAGGGGGCAAAGCTGGAGGAGAGCCCCAGACTTGGGCGCAGGCTCAGAGATGGGAACCACGGGAGGAGGGCCTGATCCTGTGTGGTTCTAAGTCCCAGTGGATGAGAAGGAATCCCAGCGGGGGCAGCGGGGCGACCGGTGAGGATGGCAGTGGCGGGCGCCCATGTGGGTGTGAGAGGGACAGTTCCCGCATCTCTGGAACACAAGGTCAAACGGAAATTCCAGGAGCTGAAGGAGGGGTGGGTGGGTTTAGAGTTCAGGTAGATGAATTTGAAATGTCTGTAAAATACACCTTTCATAAAGAAAAAAAACTTGAGACTTGTTAGTGGAAAGTCACAAATTACTGACCTGAAGGTCGATGTGCTTGTTAATGGTGAGTGTTTGTCCCCAAATCACGGGATGTTTTCCTGGCAGCCCCTACCTCTGAATAAAATACCTCAGGAATTTTAGAGGGATCTGCAGGAAGGGGACTGTTGAAAGCGATTATCTCTTTGAATTTTGATTATCTCTGTATTGTTGTGCCCTTGGGGCAGCCAGAAAAGGTGGTTGGGCAAGATGAAAGCATTTAAGAGAGTCCTTAACCCTGGCATGGTAATGAGTATTTTTTTCCATAACCCGTGTTTGGGGTGGGGGCCCAGGACCTACTTTATCTACAGCTTGGGCCCTTTCTGACCAGGTTAAGAATTACTGGCTTTAGGCATATTGATAACATTTAAAAGCCTCCCGCTCCCTATCTGCCCCCTTTTCTGTGCTAAACACAGCTGCTCCCTTCCTTCTAGGAAGTGAGGGGCTTGGGGGTGGGGAGTTATGCAAGCAAGGAAAACTTGGGAACTGGTGGGAGGGCCGGCTGTGGATGTTTGAAAGTGACCTGGAGTTGGAATTTAGGTGTGTGGCCCATCCAGCTTGACAGGCCTCCTCCTGAGCCTGGGTGGCCCAAATGGGGGGCTTTGGGCATCATTCCATTCACTCACACTTGCTTCTGGAGCTCCAGCTGTTGGCCCAAGGCCGGCTGGAGAGTTAGGGGGAGATCGGGTCTAGAAATCACGTCTGGAACCCAGAACTCAGCCCCTGCGACCCAAAGGAGCAGTTTCTCTTGGGGGATGCGGCTCAGGGCCCCTGACCCGCTCTTGGCTTTCCCAGTGTGGGCGCAGGGCAGCCAGGCTCCAATCCCTGAGGCCCTGGCCAGCATGTTGCTCTAGGGAAGTGTCCGCCAAACTGTCCTTCTGAAGGGAGAGTTAGTAATCGTGACTTTGAGATATTAGGTCAAAGCCAAATAAATGAAGGGTTTGGAGCGATTTGTTTCCTGGGTGTACAGGATAGTTTGCACAGGGAAGGGGTCAGGGCTTACTGAGCACCTGCTGTGTACAAATCACCTAGCTAGGGAGCTAATTTCTTTCACACCTTACAAAAGGGATCATATTATATGTCACTGTTCTGCCCCTCGCTTTTTCACTTACTGTATCTTAGAGAACTTTTTCTCTACTGGCATGCGGAGATGTGCTTGTTAGCTACATCATTCAACTCAGTCCTCAACAACCGCCTTACAAAGTGGCCATTGTCATCCATTATCAAAAGGAAAAGAAAAACCTAGCCTCTTAAAAGGTCAAGAACCTGTCTGTCCTGTGCTATAAGATTGTGGGAAGGACCAAAGGCTACAATAAACAGGGATGCGCATTTCATAAACTGAAACAATAAATGAAAAGTATCATTTCAGTGTAGCCAGCTGTATCATCCTGGAGTCTGGTAAAGTGTTCTGTATCCTAGGGTGTTGGTGCCCTAAGGAGTGAGGAGAACAAAAAAAGTTTTTAATTTTCCTACAGAATCTTTGCATAGTGTTTTTTAGAAAATCCTCTGTCTACCCTTAGGGACCTGGGTGCCCAAGGAGCAGTAGTGTGTCAGGGCCACTGTCACCTGTCTCATTCTAGCCACAGTATCTTTCCCACCACGAGTGGATCAGAGTCAGTGAGGCACCAGGAAGGGGCCACAGGAAATCCTGTTTGCATCTGGGCTGGACACACCCTGCTTGCTCCTAGTGAGGGTCCTTCCAGAGCTGGCACTTCTCCCCAGGGCCTGTGATCCCATGGGACTGTACACTGGTACACTGAGGAAGAATTTACCATCAGCACCCTCACTACCATCACCACTATTACCACCATCATCATCATCTTTATCACCATCGTCATCACCATCATCACCACCATCACCATCGTCATCATCATCACCATCATTACTATCACTGTCGCCATTATACTGTTGACATAAAAAATGTCCAAACCGCTAAAATAAGACTGTATTTGAGCCAAACTGACAACAACTGCTGGGGAACAAGGTCTCAAATGCTCCTGAGAATGACCGTTTTGCAGCTTCTTTCATACATTTGAAATGAAGGAAGATTACATGGAGGTGGGAGAAAGCAA